AATTTCGAAAATGATAAAGAAAAAAGTTTGTGAGTTGGTTCTTTATTTGTCTGGCATCCACATTTGATAGGGGTCCTCTTTTCCATGAAACAGGCTCTCCTCTATTGGGCATCCCTATCAACATAGCCACATGGTCAGCATGTAACTGAACCTCCTTTCCACCCATTCTGAAGACACCCCTCTCATTATCCCAGCATCTCAAAATATGTAAAGTCATCACATTGTCCTGGGGATATGGGGGCATGTCAAAGAAGTTGAACACCCTTATTTCCCTTAAATTATTAATGGTTTCCTCTGAAAGAAGATCACGAATAGCATCCAGGGCACTTCTCACTGCAGATGGACGACATCTACAGTTGAAAGTCCTTGCACTCATGATCCTGCAAATTAAAGAAATAATGACAAATTATTAGAGCAACAGTCATAAGAAGGGAATAATAGAGGAGCATAACTAATTACAAATCATGAATAACACGGCAATAACACATCAGTAACACAGCATAACTAATAACACAAATTTGGGTGGATAATACAAAGCATAACTAATTACACACCTCTAACACAGGACTAGTACATGAAACATACTTAATTAATACTAACCCTAAACATGAATAACACGGCAATAACACATCAGTAACACAGTAAAACAAAGGAAAGTAATACACGAATAATAGAGGAGCAATGCAAGAATAGTACAACAAACTTATGGCATTAAATAGTAATAACCCTACACCCATCAATAATACAAGAGTAACACGGAAAAAACACATCAGTAACACAATGCAGTTAATGCACAGTAACATAACACAGTAGAATAACACAGCAGAGTAACTCATTAATAATACATGAGTAATACAAGAATAACACTAAACCTATGTCATTAATTAACAATTACCCTGATAAAGTGGCATATGACATCAATATTACATGAATAACACGGTAATAACGCATCAGTAACACACCAGTAACACAATTTAAAAACAGAAAAAAAATAGATGAATAACACATTAATAATACATGAGTAATACAAGAATAACACTAAACCTAAGTCATTAATTAACAATCACCCTCATAAAGTAGCATATGACATCAATATTACATGAATAACACGGTAATAACGCATCAGTAACACACCAGTAACACAATGTAAAAACAGAAAAAAAAAAAGATGAATAAAACACCAATAATACAATAATAACACATCTAAACTATGTCATGGAGGTTTCTGTGAGTCCAAAGAATTTGGTTTTATGCAGTTGTCGAGTAGGGTTTTTCTCTGCTGATGATTGAAATCCATGATGTGTTATTCATGTGGTATTGCCGTGTTATTGTTGTGTTTTTTATATTTTACTGGTATATTACTGATGTGTGGTGCTATTGACGTGTTACTACAGTGCATTGTTGTGTTACTGATGTGTTACTCGTATTTCCCGACTCTGGTTTACGTTCATACCGTGATTTTATGGAACGAGACGACGCCATGACCTTCGCTTACGCCGGAAGCTCCGCTTTGCCGAAGGGTTTCGCCGGAAGCTGCGTTGCGCCGGAGATTTTCGCCGAGTTGTGCCGGAGATTTTCGCCGAGGAAGAAGTTGGCCCTAAAATCTCGTAAATCAGTAGAAGTTAAAATGTGATTCGGTAAAAGATAAAAAAAGGTTCGGGTAATCGTTCGGGCCGGGCCTAATATTTATTTTAATTTTATTTTAAAAAATGAAGTGAAAAGTGGGACCGTGATTTACAGGTGCCGCACTTTTATTGGCTACGCACCGTAAAGAAGGTGCGTAGTACTGAGGGAATATTTCTTCTTGAAATGGAACTCTCGAGATTTTAGATTTTCCAGGCTTATTTCGAACGAGCCCGATATAGGGAAAATATTTGCGTAGGGGCATACTAACGAGTTCGCACTTAGAGCTACCTCGGAGTCCTGAGAAAATTTTTCGCGTTTACGAGTGCCGTGTTCCTGCCGTAAATAGATAAACGAACTGCTGCAGAAATCCAAGCCATCCAAGGCCGCGCTTTGCAGCGCGAAGCAGTGCACTCCCAACCCCACTGCTTCTTCGAGCGGTAGCTTCGCGTTGCCGATGACCTATGACGGCGGCGGTGGCCGCAAAAGAGATGAGCGAATGGAAAATGATGTGGAGGAGGATGAGGAAGAAGAGGAGACTGGAGGACGGGGCCTCCAGGCGTGGGAGAGAGTATACGCCGATGAGAGGTCGTGGGAAGACCTACAGGAGGACGAGTCAGGGCTTCTCCGCCCCATTGACACGAAGACCATCGCTCACGCCCAATACCGCCGCAGGCTTCTCCAGAGATCAACCCACGGGGCCTCCAGAATCCAGAAGGGTCTCATCCGATACCTCTACGTCGTAATTGATCTCTCCCGGGTAGGTATTATTTTTGCTTCGTTGGGAATTATTTCTTGGAAGTGTATACTCTATTTCAGCTTACTCTTTTATGGGTTGATCGGAACGCAGGAGACAATTTCGAAAATGATAAAGAAAAAAAATAGAAAGAACAAAAAGCTATTTCCGGTATATTTGGGATGCGAAAGTTGCATTTTGTTTTTTTCTCTTCATTTATTAGTACGATAAGTTACCCTGACCATTGATCCTGGCGTTTAAGATTTTGAAGCGGAAATTGATGGAAATCTATTATGTTTGTTCAGCTTGATCAGTGGCTTTCTGGATTTTGGGATGAATTTGACTAGAACTTTTATACTGGTTCAGCATCATTAGTACGACTCTACCGTGTTATAGTGGGTTGACTGCAAGAAAAATACTAGTTTTCTTATATCCTAATACGGCTGTTAGAATCATATGTGCTCACAAGAAATTCGGATGAGCATAAACTACTAACATTGTACATTTGTGCTGCATATGATGTGAACAAGAAAGATTTAAAAATTTTACACACCAAAATGGATGGACAAGCAAGTTTTGAAAAGTTTAGACATATCCAGCGATGAAAAGCCCCTAAAAATTTTGGGCATTCGTAGGACAGGGACAAGACAAATAATCCATTTTATTTGTCTTTCCTTGATCTTGTTCTCCGTTCTTATGCTCTCAAACATAGTAAAATGGAACAAAGTTTCTTTGATTTAATTATATGAAAACGTAGGTTTCTACATTTTTTGTTCATCTCTAAGTGGATTCCTATCTTTCTCTATCAATGGAGATATTTATCAACTTGTCAGCATTTAATTGACATCAAGGGAATGAATCCTATTTCTTTGTATTTTATTCATTCTACATGAAAGAACAAAGTATTTATTCCCACTTATATTAAAGACCGGGCACACCTTGATTGTGAGGAGTATGTAACCTGTTCTTCATCTTTTTTGTTGCATTCAATCTCTCATGAGTCTTTGTTTTTTTTTTCTGTGAGTGCAAATAAACTTCTAAGTTGATTTCAAGGTTGAAAAATATGTTAAGGCATCATTTAGCTAATCTGTCTTTTTTTCTTTTTTTTAATAATAGGCATCTGGAAAGACATTGAATCAAAATACCTATAGGATATTTTGAAAAAAAAGTTAGCATATGGGTTTTCTAAAATGCTATCTTGGAAGTTTATTAACTAAATATTTGTCTTATAAAGCACGCACACAATAGTGAAATTACTATCTCTTTATGTATTATTTTTTTATGCATGTTTATGAGATTGCCTTCTTTCTTGTAGGTGGGGAATTAATATTCTCTTTATATTCTAATTACAATGTCGAAGCATACATATATAAGAATCAAGGTTGACTTTCCCTCTTAAACATCACTCTAACTATTGGTATGCACAAATTCATGCATATTCATGATCATTTTATCAACCGTTTGTTGCATCAAAACAAATTTTATAGGTGATTTAATTACCTAACAAGTTTTAAATTTCCACGAGATTCGAGTCTTCAAAATGTTCTCAACTTTAGTCTCTTGATATTTGAAGGATATTCAATAGACTTAATTTTTTTAATAATGGGTGAAGTTTAACTTTCATGCGAGCTTCTAGACTCTGTCTAATTTGGTATCATTGTTAGTTCATCATTCATACACAACTAAATGATGAAGAAAATTGGGGAACTCAAACTAGAATAGTTCCAAAATGATTGAAGTTATTTTCTTCTTGGAATAGTGATTTGGGAACACATCAACTAATTGATCCATCCGATAATTTATGGGTATGATTTGGATATTTGATCATGGATATATTCAATAAATTGTATTTATTTGAAATTTTAATGATTCAATTTCTTCATGGAAATGTTCAATGGTATTTATTCTACAATCACACTATTAAATTCGAAGAGCACGTCATCATGAGTCCATAGCAAGGTTTAGAAAGGAGAAATTGAGAACAAAGAAGTTTTTCCTTATTTAGACGAGACATAAGCTTTGAGGGTGATCAATGCATACGCCTTAAACTAAAAAAAATAAAAAAAATAAAAAATATAAAATTAAAAATAATTCACTAATATGTCATAAATTATCAAACTATTTGTTTACTTTATAATCATAAATCACAAATTCACATAATAACAAAAAGAAATCATGTCTCGAGATTAAATTTTAATTTAAAATGAAAGCATTAATTAAGTTCAAGGTTAGTATTAACGTAAAATTTAAATATGCCGTGAGGATCGTGATTTGCCATGGTTTTCCTCATTTCAGCATCTCGTGAAAGGTGAGCATATGTAATAATTCTATCATTCTTTAATTTAGTCTTATCTTCCTTTTCTTAAATCTTCATCAATTACTATTTTTTACTTCTTACTCCTTATGTCAATTAATATAAAATTCAATGTAATTTAAATTAAAATTAATGACACAACTAAATATTCTATTATAATTCCATACCTTTTGACTTTTTGAAGCTCCGACTTTCCTTCACTTTATTCTTTTGAATGATTTTGAAATAGAAATTGCTCCCAATCTACTAGCTTGCTCAACTTAAATCAGATATGATCATACATATTTTAGTGGCATACCTAGTATTTCTACTTCTACTAATACTCTACTCTTGCAATATATCAAAGGCTTTTGTACAAGACCTACAATTATGGAAGGAAGTGTTCAATGAGCATTTCTTTAATATATTGAAAATAAAAAATGTTAGTGGTATTTGCAATATGCAATCCAACTAAGAACCCAAATAATCTTATTGTCGTTTAAATTTTCTTTCAGTAATTCTTTCATGTCAATTACTTCAAGTTTATCAAACCTCCAATTCCTCAAAAAGTGAAGAAATATATTTCTTTTGATCTTAAGGTGGAAAGAATGTCTAAAAATGAAGAAAGAGCTAGAGTGGATACAGAGCGTGATCAATCATCAAGGTTGACTTTCCATACCCCATTCACATTTTTACCATGCCCTAGTCGATCATAAACACCCAAGATCACTATCGATCCCTTTTCCTGGTTGTCTTGGAAGTTAATCAGGTCTTCCCTTTCTTTAATGCCACGACCTGACTTTTTGCTTAATCTTGCTTCCGAGGCTGTAACACTTCAGGTTCGTACGGTGATGCACCTTGAAAGCATGGAATGTGATGAAGAAATATTTAAACTTAGTTTATACTCACAAAAAAGATAGTTTTTATTACAGATAATATACATAATAAAAATAAGCAAGAAAAAAATAAATTTTATTTCATTTTAAAAATAAATGACCAATACAATTGAAGGAAGAAAAGGGAATTGTCAGAAAAAAACCAAAATATCAAATAATTAAACAAACTACTTAAACCCAAATAAAAAATAATAACTAATACTTAAATTGAATATACAAATAAATAGTCTATTACTAATCTATTCTTGTGGCTAGAGTCTACCAAACACACTTATAGAACTTGTTATAAGAAAATAGCAATGAGTGAATTTGATGAATTAAACTTAGCAAATAAACATTGTGTATTAATGCATTAATGACAAGATATTGGGCATGCAACATGAATGATAAGATAAGGATGATTTACTATATATATTAGGAGGATAAGTAATGGCATCTAATAATCACAAGAATAATGATAGTCCACTAATAAAATTTTGCCATAAGTTCATATAGTCTAGAGTATTATTATGTTTTTGATCATGAGTATGAGTTACTTGTAACAACGCACTTTTATGTTAACATATATATGCCATAATACATTTATACTTACATTTATCTATCCATAACTCATCAATCGTTTGTATGAATCTAATAATATCCAAATGTAAAAGTGCATGTATATATAGTTATATTTTTTTGACACACTGACACAAAGAAATCTAAGCACTACTCCCATAAAAATCTAATTATCTGACTGAGGATTTGTCAGTTTGATTAGCTATTAACAAATAATTTAATCTATCATAATATTATTTTAAAACATATTCCACACATCATCATTAATTAATTATCAAAAATATTTTCATTTGAATGACTAACATTAATTATATAGGAATATGAATTGCAGTAATTGAATAGAGAACTCAAATAACATGCATGAATATTAAATACTACAATTACGAGAATCAATTGAATAAACAAGAATCTGTGCAATAATAAATTAAGATAGGTATTTTCAATTAATTTGTTGCCCCATTAAAAAAAATTCTACAACATATGAATGGCAATATAATGAAACTTGTGAATGCAGAATTAACAAATCTATAAAGTAGCTAGAGATTAATATAAATAATAACGATAATGCCCCTAACCATGAATGCTACGTTTATCCCTATTAATAAATAACTATTAGTTTGAGATGAGTGGTGTGGAATTAGAAATTTATTAGAGGTTCAATTAATAACTTTTAATGGACTTGATTCAATGATCTTAAACAATATAATTGCTTGTTAATTACCAGAACGTATCTGAAATTATACCTCTAACAAGTTATTAAAGTAGCACAACCTAGTCAATTGGAGCTAAACTGCAATAAATCTAAATTATTTATCATTTTTACAAAAGTTTAATCTATCATATGCATTAAGTCAACATACACCCATTTAATTGTTAGAAAAGGTTGAATGAAAAATAATGTTAGAAAAGGCAATGCTTTGGTGAACTTAAGAAGATTAAAATTTAGTCCGTAAAATTATTCGGAATTCATTTTAAACAAAAATCATGACTAACGAAGGATAAACCAATATTAAATTTAATTGCATGCCAAAAATTTAGATTTGTTAAAATGATGTCTAAATCATAATCTAAAACTTTGATGAAAAAATAATTATAATTAAAGGAAGATGGATTGCTCATAAGATCTTTGGCGATTGAAGACAATAAAAAGGCGGTAGCTTTGAGAGCATGTTCTTGTTTGGTTGAGAAAGATGAAGGTGAGAAGAATACTCAATGAAGACTTTGAGTAAAGGTAGGAGGAGTCTCGATTTTTGGGTCAAAAGGAGAATGAAGAAGAA